GCCGACCACTCTTCCGAAGAAAGATTGGAAAATTTGGTGTTACGATTGAATTTAAGTTTGTTGATATCGTGGCGACATTTTTTGAGGAAAAAATCTAAAGATGAGAACTGGCCCTCTGGGGGAGTCCATTTAGACTTTCGAATCTGGAGTGTTTCGAAAGTATCTTTGTTCGAGGTGTTAGAATCATCCTCTTTGTCATGAAAAAAGGCTTTCAACTGAACGCGGCGAAGGAATTTTTCAACGTCTTGCTTAACTGAAAATTCGTCGGTTTTTTGTGATATGGGAACAAAATTTAAGCCCTTGCTGAGAACTGATTTTTCTGAATCGGAAAGTAGTAAATTTTCTGGAATGGTAACTACAGTTTTGAGGTTTTCAGGCGATGAGTCGTTAGTAACTTGAGGGCCGATAAGTTGGTCGAGTTTTTGGGCCTTAATTTGGTGCAAATGTTTAAAAAGTTTAGAATTGGCATCCTGAATTTTGGCACGAATGGATTATACTAAAACAGCTGGACAGATTTTGGAAAGTTCAGAGCGGCAATGTAGAATTTGTTCGGTGAGTTTGTTACGTTTTTGGCACATAGCTCTGATTGTGATTCTCATAATATTACGTGAAAAAGAATTTTGGGCGCACTGAATTTGGTGACGATATTGATTCGAATGAGAAAAAGAAGATGTGTGAAAATTGGAGCGAAAACCCTTAGGAATAACTTTGGAATGAAGGCAACGGCCGATGAAATGGATGTGACTACAAAACCTAGTTTTGGCGAAAATGAGAACGGCTAAACGGAATGCTAGATCTTTACTAATAGGGGGGAAAGGAAAAAGGTAACTTACGATTTCCTGGCGTAGCTCCTTGATAAGTTTCTTCAAGCTTGGCATGGTCCGTTGCTGTGAGATCTGTAGATAGAAAAATTCTAAGGCAAGAGTTAGTGGTCGCAGCAAATAAATGACAAATGAATAAAGGGGTAAGTTTCTAAAGAAACTGTGGTGCTGCGTCGGTGGGAGAGTATAGCAGGTAATTTAGTGTTAACAACTGGGTTGAAAACGTAAATTAGCCACCGTAAAGGATAAAAAAGCTGACGTTTCGAGCGTTAGCCCTTCGTCAGAGCGATTAGAGGAATTGTGGGTTGTGTGTGGATTTATATGTAGGAAGTGGAGCTACGCCATAGGTGGGAATGTGGTGACGAGAAAACAGGAATAAATTAGTTGAATGAAAAGCGCTCGTTGATTCCGTGGGGATTAAGGGTGCCGATTTGGAATATAAATTTTTGTTCTAGTGTTTTACGGCTTTCCATACTAGATACTGTCGACCGATACTAAATACTATCGACCGATGTATCGACCAATCTATCGGTAGATATATCGACCGATACTAGAGCATTTACCTAATCGGTCGCGTGTCGGTCGAGTATCGACCGATGTAAAGTACCGGTGAAGCATCGGTGAAATATCGGTGAAGTATCGGTGAAGTGTCGGTCAAGTATCGGTCAAGTATCGGTCAAGTATCGGTCAAGTATCGGTGAACCGCCAAGTATATCGACCGATAGGAGTATCGGTCGATACTCGACCGATATATCGACCTGTACTCGATCGAGTATCGACCGATGTATCGACCGATATATCGACCGATATATCGACCGATGTATCGGTCGAGGCCCCCCATAAGATACATGATCCGAAGAATGTTGTTAAATATCTGAGAGCAACTCATCACCTATTTTCAAATGTCTTTTCTGAGACAAACAGGAGACTGGATCATAATTACAAATCAGACAACATTGTCTCGATCTCTAAGGCTAAACACCTTCACGGATGTCCCTTGCAAAAAATCTTGTAGTAAGGCAGATGCAATTTTTAGTCTGACAAAATTTAGGAGTGCCTTTTTATTCCAGAATCCATGACAAAAATCTTCTGATTACATGTTGATAGTATACATGACAAAACTGTGATACTTTTAATAATTATTAGTAGGAATCACATGCAGAATAAACCTGCATGTAATCACTAAACAATTTGCCAAATTTTTAGCACTTTTAAAATAACCAGCAATCAATCAATCGCCAGCAATCAAGGACATTTCGAGCCCGCTAACAATTATCAGCGGTATATCGTATTACACTCCGGAACAATAGAATATCAAGAGAATTCAATATGCCGGCGATCACGGCTCGATCTGCAAAGAAGAGTGTTTCGTATCATGACTTATAGAATTTGAGCACTACAGATCTTCTATTTGATGAAAAGAAAAAGAAAAGAAGACCTGCAAGCAAATCTTTGGGATTTTTCGAGGCAGAGCGATGACATGATGTCAGAATTTTGATTTGCTTTAATTTAATTTTCGCGCTCCTGAATTTGCATTCAATGCCTGGCATATTTTTAGTCCGAAAAGGACCGAGAACTAATTTATTTCCCTGCAAGAACATAAACAAATATGGCCGACGATTCGAAGATCAGCGTTGCTCGTGTTTAACTATTTCAGTCATAGTTTTCAACATGGCGTCTCGTCACTTACTCAACATGGAAAATAAGGGATATTCGGTAAAATTTCCGCACAGCCCCATACTATTGTAAAACAAATCTGTTTTCCCAATGGCAATCTATTGTTTTTGTCATTGTTTTCTCAATCCAAGAACTGAATGCATAATGTAGTATGGGGCTGTGCGGAAATTTTACCGGATATTCTGGCGCGTTGGGAACTTTTTTGATGGGAGGAAATGGCAATTTTACAGGATATTTGGACGCTTCGAACTCTGTAGCAGTCAATTCGATCGAGAGCAGTTGACTTTATTGATGCACTTTCCTGTAATAGGCGAGTGTTTGGGATGGAGAACGACGGATTTTGAAGAAGTGTATGGCGACCTAGGTCAATAATCAATGACAAAAGAACTGGCTCGGGAAGTAAGTGGTTTTTATTTATCGAGTCCCTGTGAGGTTTGATGAATAGCAGAATCAGTTCTGAATATGTCTCGATCGAGAGCAGACGGGACCATGAGCTCCTGATTGTTATATTTTAGAAATTTTACAAATTTTCATACAGTTTCCTATATTATTTGGACGCCATTATGGACGAAATGCGCAAGTGCGGCTGCCATCTTGTCCGATATTTCTGCCGATGAAAAACTTCAAGCAATGGAGACTTGACAACCATCAACCGAGAGCTAGCAATACAGATGGCTAAACATCCCAATGTGGAAGTCAGTGTCTTCTTACCTCAGTGTAGTGAAGAGGACAAGAAAGATGCTGATAGTTACAATGTTAAACTCATTGAAGCAGTTAAACTGGGTGGTTTTGAACCAGTTGATTGGCTAGCCTCTGTACCTGAGGGCCATGTACAAAAGCATTTCTGAAGGCCAACAAAAGCAGCAAACAGAAATAGAATTATGTGAAATGGCGGATCAAGTTATAACAATTGGCCCCAAGCTAACTGATGCATATAAGCACCAACTCAGAAAACAAGATGTTTTTAACCTGATGCCAGGCGTTTTCACGGAATTTTCAGATGTGCAGCAAGCAAGTGACAAAGGAAGAAGATTTTGTGTCTTGGTAATTGAGAGTGGTGATAGTGAAGATTTTGATGTTAAAGGGTACGATATTGCAATGAAAGCTATTGCTGAGCTAAAGGATAAATCTTACCAACTCAAGTTTGCTTCCAAACAGAAAGGAAAAGAAGATGAATTAGCAGACAAGTTACTTCAGTGTAGTATTGGTCGTAATCAGGTAAGTATCTGCAGTTAAGATGAAGACAGCGAAACATTAGCAAACTTATTCTCTGTGGTGGATATTGCCATATTGCCCTAAAAAACAGAGGGATTCGGGTTGAGTGCTCTTGAGGCCATATCTGCTGGTCTTCCAGTACTTGTCAGTGGTAACTCAGGAATTGCAGAAGCCTTAAAGGAGGTGTCTAATGGGTCACAGTGTATAGTGGATTCAGAGGATCCTGCAGACTGGGCCAGTGTGATAAAAGCTGTGCATGACAAAAAAAGGAATGTACAACTTGAAGAGGCTAAGAGTCTTCGTGAAAACTATTTGCAGAAGTTCAGCTGGGTGGAACCTTGCAATTTCCTTGTTGAAAAGATGTACAATCTTGCATTTGGTAAGTTTTCTCATATTGCATCAGGAATGCAGAAAATTTGAAATGATGACAAAGCTCACACGTGCTGCGTTAAATATTCAATTTACCAGTTAGCAGTTGTTTCTAAATGCTATAGGGACAGTAGTCTTATGGAATGTGACAAATTTACATGTAAGAAAACTGGTAATCCAAGTCTATAAGTTGGTGGTAATGGCCATACAATACAGTAACTGTTCTTAATAATAGTGGTGGCCAAAAGTTGTAGTTTGTGACGAGTTGGTATGAGACTACCCCATTTAGATGTATTCTAATCTTTACTTCAGGAAAGAAGAAAACTTGGAATTCAGAACTTGAGAATGGAGGGGCATGTTCATCCAGTGGTAAGAGCCATAGAGAATTAGCACTTACTGATCATGTTCATCAGTATGATGATGTCTTTGCAAATTTTGTGGAAAATCAATGTTCATATTTGATATTTTATTATTACCTATAATGTAGCACTCAGTTGTCCATAATCAATGTGACTTCACCAAACCTTTATCAAATTCATTTTCCAAAAATCCAAAATCATCAGGCTTCTTATGCTTTTCTCCAGATCCTGGGTTCATTTCATAACAGCTCTAAAATTAAGTTAACAAAATAAGAAATGGATGATCATTCTAGCAATTCAAGTTCCAAGACAGTCAGAGAGCCATATTTTTCCTTGACTGCTAAAATGATACATGAATTGTTATGCATGTACCTCACAGAAAATGCCATTTTGATGGCATCCTCCTAAACTTTTGGATTTACTTTAATTACTTAATACTCTACCTGCAGACTTAGGGGCAAGACTAATTGTCCAGAGGAGTGAAAACTCTGATGTTCATTAGTGTACAGTGACTGAACAAGAGCCTTCTGTCAAAGAAATTGAGCTTCAAGGAGATGTCATCAGAGATAGGAAATGTAGAGCTCCTAACCCAAGCAATGTTAACACTGTTGTGAAGGAAAAAAGGGAGGTCTCTGAGGAGGTGTCAGACCCAGTTCCTGGTCCAGGTATATTTTATACCATTCCATTCCATCAATCAATCAACTAATTAGTCCATCCATCCAACCATAATAACTCACATCTTTCTGTCATCAATTTGTTAATCAAACAATACATGTATGTCCAACAATGAAAAAATCAATAGCATGAATCATTTCCACCAAGTAAAAAAAGAATTTTTCCCAGTTGAAATCCAAAATCTTGCACCTTCAAAGGAAAAGAATATAAAACTTGAGTTAAGATATGGTTTTATTTAAAAAGAGGCTGGAAATGAGATCATGCAAGGGTGTTACTTCCATGCTGTGGTGTGGTGAGCAAATAATTTGGGTGAGGAAAGCTTCATGAAAGAAATCTGTCATTAACAGTTTTTCAGAGGATTAGAGAATTTATTGCAGTAATTTCACTCAACATAACTTTGTTTGGTGGGTTGGGAACCTTGTGTCACCTAGAAGGGAGGACTGACCCACAGAGTTTTCAATAAATCACTTTAAGTGATCTAAAAGGATTAATTGGCGTGCATGCTGCCAGTGTTCAGAATGTAAAGTTGATTCTCTGGGTGCATCTGTTTTGGATTTAAACTGCAAAAAAATGTAAACTAATTAGAGAAAATTGGGCATCAAAGTCTTGAATTTGCAACCCCTGAACCTTTCTTTCAAAACTGTCACATACACTCTTGTTTCATTAATTGTTGTATTTATCAACAGCTGCTGTTGAACATGGAGATTCTGCTCTGAGCTTTCTTGAGGACATGAATTCTTTTGCTGATAACAACACTCAATCAATTCCCTTGCCAGCTACAGAAACTTCTGACATGAAAGGAGGTGTGTCTGTTGAAACCAGAGGGTGGGATCCCTTACATTCTGCTGCAGAGGGTGGTAATGAAGTTATAATTGAGACTTTGCTATCTTCTGGATTAGACATAGATTCAAGGGGTAATGATGGTACAACACCCTTAATGGTGGCAGCTGCTAAAGGACAAGAGAAGACAGTAAACCTTCTTCTCAGCAAGAGAGCTGATCCACACCTTAGAAACTTTATGGGAAGAAATCTGCTTCATGCAGCAGCTGAAGGCGGCAACTCTTCCATTGTGATGAGAGTGCTCTCTTGTGACATTGACATTAATTCAAAAGATGATGAATCTTCAGTCACCCCATTGACAGTAGCTGTTAAGCACAACCATGTTGAAGTTGTGAAATATCTTCTTCAAAAGGGTGCAGATATATCTTTGACAACTGAATCTAAAAAGAGGAATGCTTTACACATAGCATCACAGTATGGAAGTGTTGAAGCTATGGAGATGTTGCTCTCTTATGATTTAAGACCTGATTCAAGAGATGGTGAGGGAAACACGCCATTAGCCTGTGCTGCAGCTTGTGGACAGATAGAGGCTGTAAACTGTCTTCTTAAACATGGAGCAGATCCATTACTGAAAGGGAAAGATGGATGGAGCCTTCTCCATTTTGCTGCTCAGTCTGGCAATGTCATCATTATTGAGACCATGCTTTCTAAAGGTCTTGATATTGATTCCAGAGGTGAAACTCTGGGTGAAACCCCTCTGATGGTTTCCATTAAATCTGGAAAATTGGAGGCAGCAAAATATCTGCTTGAGAAGGGTGCTGATGAAAGTTTGAAAACCACTCCGGGAAAAATCTCTCTTTTGTCCATTGCATCAGGAGCTGGTTCTATTGCAGCCGTTGAGATGCTGCTCTCACGTTGTTGTAACATTGATTCTAGAGATAGTGGGGGAGACACAGCATTGATGCATGCTGCACGTCTTGGAAATACAGAGGTTGTAGAATATCTTCTTGCTCAAGGTGCTAATCCATTACTTAGAAATACATCAGACCTTGGTCTGCTCCATTTAGCTGCTCTTTCTGACAATGTTCTCACTATTAAGGCTGTGCTCTCTAAAGATTTTGACATAAATGCTAGGTGTACAGTCCTTTGTATAACTCCACTGTTGTTTTGCTTGTCACAGGGTAAACTGGAGGCTGCAAACTATCTGTTTGCAATGGGCGCTGATGAAAATTTGAAAACTAAGGACGGGTTGACTGTTCTATCTGCTGCAGCAATCAGTGGTAATGTTGCAGCCATTGAGATGCTGCTTAAGCGTGGTCACAACCCTAATTCCAGGGATGGTTGTGATAAGACACCCTTAATGTGGGCTGCAGAGGTGGGAAAAAAAGCAGCTGTAGAATATCTTCTTTCTCTCACACATTAGAGTGCTGTGAAAGGCCACAGAGGCCCACACTTTTAAGAATACTTGCACAGGTGTAGTTAGATGTAATAAATATTAGTTTTTAAATGAATAGGAGAAATTCCAAGTTTTTGTTACATTTATAATGGATTGGATGATTATTGTCTTTAATTGTAATAACTCATAAGTTTGCATTTATCTTGATGGTAATCCGGGGCAACCATTCCCAGCCCATCAGGTCAAAGGTGGCAGATAGTGAGAGGCCTTCACTGAAGGTTAGCTCCAAATAAGCTGGCTTCCCAGTGGATAAGGAGTTGCACACCAAAGTGGCGGTGTACTTACCAGGATGGGGTGAGGCTGCAGATGGCACTGCTTCCTCTATAAAATGCTCCATAAATCCCATGACAAGTACATCAGGCGAGAAAGGGCCGCCTTTAAAGCCCTAGCCCGGGCAGGTGGAGCTCGATAGCCTGGGAGGGTAATCCACTTAAGAGAAGGACTACCTCATCCAAACCTATCTAGTGCCAGGTGTAATGGACAATTAAGTCATGCAATTACCCTGGGTTCAAGGACATGACAGAGAGTCCTTTACCCATGCTCTAGCTATGGATAAATAGTGGTTGTTCTTTTGAGAGCAGGCCAGAAGATAGGAGATGCCACCTCTGTTATAAAAGCTACAGCCCTATGAATCTTACAGCCTCTCAACCTGCTGAGCTGCTGTAAATCTTCCCTGGGCTTAAAGAGTGGGATTGATGTGCATGAACTGGTCCTCACTTGAAACATACAGAGTGCAGGCAGGAAATAAAGACCTGCAGTGATGGAAGATGGCAAAAATGACAGGTGCTAGATGGCACTGAAATTGCAGAAATAACTCTGCATGTAGGTGGTCTAGGGTAACATGGTCACTTGCTTGTGAACAGAGACAAGCGACTAAGCAGCTCACCCCAAGCAACCTAGCAGCCTTTTCTAGGGTTGCATTGCTTGCCCTGAATAGAGAGGGGTCTAGTAAAGATGACCCAAAAAAAAAAAGGTTTGTCTCATCCTTACCCAGTTGGTTGGCCCAATCAATGGGCATCCCTAGTTTAGCAGTAAAAACTAGTTAAAAGATTTTATAAGTATAAACTAAAAAGACAGACATGGAAACAGATAAGGACTATAAGACTTGAATGAATGTAAGACTTGGAAGATAGTGTTCACCCTCACACAAAACCCCTCTCTTCCCTCTCCACCAAAATTCTGGTATATAAGGCTGTTGTCATCTATACCTTCCTGTAAGGGGTCAAGGCATGTGTACTGTTCAGAAAGCAAATCAAATGCCTAGAACAGCAATGCTGCCTTTTCTCCATCATGAACATTAGATAGCAGGACTACAGAACCAACAATGAAGTCCTGGAAAAAGCCAATCTTCCCAGTATGGAGGCCACGTTCATGCTGAGACAATGATGGTCTGGCCATGTCTCCTGTATGCCTGATACATGAATCCCAAAGGAGCTATCAGATGGAAAACAAGACAGAGGGGTTCCAAGAAAATGCTGGAAAGACTAACTGAAGGGCAAATTGACTCAGGCTGGCATCAACCCCAAACATTGGGAACAGCTTGCAGAAAACCATGCAGCATGGTGACTAACAACAAGAAGAGCAGCACAAGATTTTGAGATCACAAGACGAGAAGCGGTAGAAGAGAGGAGGATATGACAAAAGGAAGCACGAGAGCAGGATCCAACAGGACCAGCTTCCTTCTTGTGCCCCTGATGTCCTAGGATCTGCCTATCAAGAATAGGACTGATAAGTCATTTGAGGGCATGCCTCCACTGGCAGGACCTTCCCTCAATGATATTATGGCAAGGCTGTATGTATCATATTAGAGATTCAGTTTTTGAGATCATGTGGAAACAGCATGTGTCCTTTAGAGTTCCCACACTACAATGCATTTTACTCTGAAAGAATAACTTGGCTTTTAGAAAACATCAAAAGGTGTTATACTACAGCACAGATGGGTATGCATTTAGTTTCAATGACTAACTAACCTCAGCTGGGCTAGGAATGGCTGTTACTCCTCTCAGCTTGGGTGGAGAGAAACAGTACAAAAAACACATCTGTATTTGCAGGCTTACCTAGAGAAAAGGCTTCACCCTTTAACTCCCAAGATCTGGTTGTGAATTCTCCCCTCTAGCCGCTACACATTTCCTTGTAAGTTGGTTATGAGAATTTGGTGTTTGATGAAGGTCTTGAAGTATCTTGTACCTGATAAGTTTGAGTATTGTCACTACCTTTTTCCTGGATAAATTATGAATATAGGGAGAAGTTACACGTTAATCACTTCTGGGAGTTAAAGACTTTAACACCTAACTTTTCTATATTTCTTGGTATAATTTACAAAATTCAGCCTATTCTTTCATCACAATGTTTAAGATACTCACAGAATTTTATAAATCCTAGTTAAAAACCTGTAAGTAAATGGAAATTACTTTCAATTTTTGTTAGGTGGATTAATAATTGTCTTGTATAGATCAGTGTGACAAGCTTAACATACTTTTTTTAATAAAATTTAACTCAAAATCAAGATCTGTTTAATTTCCTTCCTCTCTAGGTTGGTAAAACTAGCTATTTGCTAAGTAAGATTTTTTACTGTGATCTAATATTAACTTTTTGTTGTAGGACAAAAACAGTGAGAACTATTGATTTCAATTTAACACTAATGCTTAGGGTTTAAAATACTACTGTATGCCATCTTAAGTAGTATGAAAGTGGTTGAAATTTCCCATATAAATGAAAGGAGTGACTTAATAAATGCAGAAAAAGAGCAACTTTTGTGAAATTTTACATTTTGTTCCTAGGAGATTGTTGCCATGCAAGCCCACTCTTATCACTGATAAAATCTAGCAGTGTCTTACAAATCCATTCACAGATGATAAAGATCCAATTTCAAACTAGATTTTAAATGATGTAGTGCAAATTTTGAATAATTTCAAAAAAAAAGAAGACTTGGCAAAGTCATTAGTGACCTGTGACCTAGCTAATAGACTATTAATGTTTCAAGACTTAAATTTGCTTAAGAGGCATCTGTGAACAAGCAACATATAGTGCATTGATTTGTCCAGTATTTCAGAGCTGTCCAGTCCATACCAAACCTCAAAAGGCAAGGAACGATATCAAGCAGTGAAATGCAGATGTGACCTTTGATCACCTCTACATTCCATCTTAGCGTACTTACTGGTGCTGTAGCAAAATGGATCCCTTAATTCCTTGGGGGGGAGTTGCTGAACATTTAAATTTTCTGCTTTTATGGAACTCTGTGATGTCTGGTCTCACATTTAAGAGTATCACTGAATGATATTTCTTTCAATTGGTTAGTTATTTTCTTCAAGGCTGAGAGCAATATCTATTGTTACTAAAGTCAATGCATTAATCTTGATAAGATGCTGCAACGTTTGTCCTCCCTTAACTGTAGGAAGAAATATAGAAAAATGGGAATGGGTGTTTGCAAAAACCTTTTCTAGCTTAATAGCTATTAAAATCAGGTCAAAGAAAGGGTCTGTTAAGATCAGTCAATCAATGCAATCATCAGCTGCTTATTTTCAAAAATCAATTTTATTTAATTTATATCACTTTATTCTATATCCACTTAACAAAATTTGCCAGCCATGAGCAGACATCAATCATGAATCTGTTCCAATACACCTGCTAACTACCGGTATCACACAGTTTTTCATCCTTGGCTAATAAACTCAATGCTATTTCACAAATTTGACTTGAAGTTACCAAAACTTGAATGAGTCTGAGAAGAGAAAATTATCATTGAATGACCATACTTTCCCTGAATACTTCCAACCTAAGATGGAAAGGTACTAAAGAGGACATCTTTTGACATTTTCTTAGTGCTGATGCAAGACTTCAGGTTCTTTGATACGAAATTAAAGATGCCCAACAAAATCAATTATCTTGTACTTTTGATTAACAAAAAAAAACCAAAAAACAATTGAATTTTAAGCAATTTGCAGGTATATCATCAAGTAAAGGGAATTGTGTTGGTATCATGCAGCTTCAAGATGATGGGACTTTCATGCTATGTAAAAAGCCCAAGAAAAATCGTAATCACAGTGATAAAACATATTAAAAAATTTTTCTCCTAAGAAACTTTATATGAATCAGCCAAGGCCTATTGGCAACAAGTAATGTTCCCACCACTGTCATTCAAGTTCCACATTTCCAAGTTTATACTATATTGTATTTTGACCTGCAAATATTCCACAAGTGATGAAATGTTATTTTAACCCTTAAAACCCTTGGAGTGACCAGTGTCTAATTTCTCCCTACTGTAATACTGCTAAATCATTCATTTAGATCATGGGAATAAAGGAAATTGTGTTAGGGTGCAAAGGGTTAAGATTAACTGAAATAAAAGAAACTACAGAAAAAATGGGCCTAAAAAAATTAGCACGTAATTGGGATTTGCACAAGTGCCCATCAGCTACAACTTAATTGGACACATGATTCTCACAGATCACAGCTTGCTAATTGCCTTGTTCATTGTTGCCATGGAAACAGAATTTGTGATCCAACTACCACCGTCTACCACCAGTGTGTTTGCTGTGATAAAAGCTGAAGCACCACTCGCCAGGAAGAGTACACTATCTGCCACATCTTGGCGAGAAACCAGTCTTTGTAAAGGTACATTCTCAATGAAGTTTGGTGGGAGATGTTTGCCACCTGTGAAGATGTAGTACAGTTGAAGCTTCCTTCAGACTTAAAGTGAAAGGAAATTGTGAAGTGTACTACCTTGTAAGTGGAACAGGGATTAAGGTAAATGAAATGTTAAACATTGAGTATGAAAAATCTTTAGACCAGCTTTCAGCCAGGAAAAGTATTAATTCTTTAAATAATTGTACATATCCAAAATTCATTTCATTTTAAGCAATAAAATGTTTATCTCAGCCTAACTTTAGACTCTTAAAACCTATTATAACAATGTTAATTAAAAGCTTTCCACATATCTGCCAAACACAGGTTGCTTTTGCTGAAACTTTGGATGCTAAAATTGTTTCTGTTCACCATAGCAATCAAAACAGTTGCAATCCAGGCCTCTGTTCTGTTCTAAGCTTATGAAAAGTATATGATATGAAACTTAAATTAGGTGCAGGTAAAATATGCAGATTCTATTTCCAACTGTAAATTCTCTGTAATTTGTTACCTAGTCTACGGAAACCCTCTGTGTCCTTCACAGCACCAGGTGCAACACAGTTTACCCTCACACCATCTGGGCCCCATTCAACAGCGAGATGTCTTGACATACCCTCTGATTAAGAGATAAGAAACAGATTATTAGGGATTAAAGGGTATGAGAAAACATCTGAAATCCTAGCCCTGCTGAACCCTCTCTGACTGCCAGATCTCATTAGCCGTAATTTTCCTTACTGTCTGCCATACAAGTCTCATGATGTTGGTTCAGAGAATTTAATACTGGATCAACTGATATTCCCCTTATTGATACTTTTTGTCATTACTGTTTCTTAATCTTCTTCATGAGATTGTACTGATATCGTAAGGCAAAATTCTGTCTTGGCCACTTAGGGAAGTAAAATGGTTAATGGCAGGGATTTTTTTGAGTCCTGACCATAAAAATTTGACTAAAAAAATTTCTCTGCATGATAAATTAATGTATAAGGTGGAGAAGGAAATTATTCTCTAAGCAGCAGTTACAGTAATAAATTGTGCAACTCAGAACTTTATTTAAAGACAAAGGATTAACAGTACTTGAATAGTATGAAAAAGGTTCTTTGTTTATTGACATAAATGTTTACAATAATGTAATCATGTGAACTCACCAATTGCAGCTTTTGCACCTCCAGCATGACACTAATTGAGAAAAAAATTAATTTAAAATGCTTCCTCAAATGAGTACTTAAAATTACAATTCTTTCATTTTCTAAACTGACCAAAAGGGACTTTCTCCTCACAAGATTGATACATTTTCATGCAAAAAGGTAATAAAAAGAAAGAAAAATATCTACTGGGAGATACTGTTTGATTTAACTCTAAGTTCTCAGTGCTAAAAATAGAAGTAATGAGTTGTAGACTATAGGAAAAATTGTCTGATACTCAGGCCAGAATAATGGAAATTGGTTTACTTACTTGATCATTTCGGTTTTTTTTTATAACATTATTTACACCCCATTCAGGGAACACAAACTTTGGTCCCAGAAAAATGTTCAATAATATCTTGGTATCCATTACCTCTTTTGAAGAGACTCCTCTATTCAGGGGATTAGAACACTTTTTCTGGGTCCTAAAGCCTGATTTAACACCCATTCAGGGGACACCTCAACCAATAAAAAATTGTGACTGACCCCAAAGATTAAGTGTACACTAATCACAATGATGACAGCTTTCACAATATGACCTTTTTAACAACACACATCATTTGATGACAGAGATTTTTTTGCTATAGGATAATGCAGATGATGATTTTTTTATGGTAAATTATTACCAAACTCCAACCTCTTTTTAGGGGACACTTGCCCTGGTCCCTGGGTGTCCCCTGAATGGAGGTTCCACTGCAGTTGAAATAGGTAAATTGTGTAAGGGTCATACTCCAAACAGTTGACCATGAATCTACCTGTTCCTGTTATGCAGCTGACAAAGCTTTTTTGCATACAATTACTACAGACCTGCAAAGGGTGTCCATTGTGATGAAGTGTGGCTGTGATGTTGATGATGTTACCACTGCCATTATTCTAAAAATAGTATTTCCAGGCACTGTAAATTTCATTGGTGACAGTGCAAATACAAAAGAAATACCAATTTACTTAGTAGATTCTACCTCATGAAAAATTTCAGTGAAGCATGCTGCTCTGGGATTTCTTATTTCCTAACGCAAGCCACAATAATTACTCTGTTGCTGAGAGCCAAATGAATTTGATTTGATTCTTAACAAGTCAGTTCTGCACCCACAAGTCACATTCAAGTTCGGCCCATCAAAGTAAACCTAAAAATCAAAATCTAACAACCAAAAATTGTTTTTTGGAGTTTTCTGAGTTTCACAGTAATATCACAGTTAACTAAGTCTTCCATCAATTTCTTGCTTACAAGCACTGGCTGGCTGTGGCTATCAAGGTAACCTTTTTTTTAATCCTTCTACTAAAATGGGTAAAAAATGATCCAGATCCAAACTGAGTAAGATCTGCCAATTGGTTCAAGCTTATTATTAATTGCACTGTTATTTCAAATTTTACTGTCAGTGTTTCTAATGAGTAGACATGCTTATTCATCAATTAAGGATGTAAACACAGCTGGTATTGAATACTAAAGGTAAAATCATACTTCTAGATAAAAAGTGTTATCTCCAGTTAATTAAAGAAACAATCTTACCTTAAAACATTTGTTATACACAGCTTTGCTCACATTGAAGGTTCCAAAAGCATCAATGTCAAAAACTATAACATCACAAAAAAATTGTAAATAATAAACTATTACAGAATGTTATTGACAAAAAAAACTCAATAAGTCCATCATGTAATCTGTCAAATTGGATTTGTCTACCCCTGAAGAGGATAGTCTTCAGTGAACTGACTGCATGGTTTCTGGACAATCTGAGTGGAATTCATTATCAGAGGCAAATGATTAGAGTATAACTTCCACTCAGGTTGTGAAAAAAAAAAGCATCTGATCCATTTACTTCCACAGACAACAGTCCTCTACCGGGGATCAAACAAGAGAACAACATACAAAACCAGCTTTTACTAAAAAGGTAAAAACTAATCAAGTCATTTTTAACTCTCACCTGTTTTCAATCCATTGTATGAAAGCTGGCTTGCAGGGCATAGAAAATTTCCTGCTGCACCTAAAGGGAAACAAATTGGAATGAGACTTTGTTCAGAACTTTGGTGGATTTTAATGTCTAACCTAATTTTTTATTTTTGGACTTAAACTTTTAACCCTTAGGAGTGACGAGCATCCAATTGCTCCCTACAATATCACCATTGAATCACACACTCATGTCATGAGAATAAAGAAAATGATCACCAACTAAAGAAACTCTTGATTGTTGGACAAATTTTCTGTGTCAGCACCTTAGTAAATGTACAGAGAACAGTATGGAGAATATGAATTCTAATAATATAAGGAAATATCCATTTTAGGTCACTCATTTGGTAGCTACAAGCAGTCTCTCCTTTTCAGCAAAGTACTACATGTGAGTAGAAAAAAAATCAGAGTAAAGAGTGTTAGTGTGCTGGGCAAAACTCAGAGTTCATGCAGTGCACTTAACATCAATCTTTATTTTGGTGGTTTTTTTAACTCACATAATGAACTTCATTGAAAAGGAGGGATTTATCTTAGTCCACTCATTTGGTGAGATACAACTAAAAACTTTAAAGTCTATTTTTCTATTGGTGTCTGTGACTCAGATTTGACTCAAACTTGAACTGATTTGGCTCGGATGCAACATGATAATATGATTCTTCCTCCAATCTTAGAGTTGATACTTACTATTAACTAAAATATCTATTTTTGAGAAATGTTTCAGTGCCATGTCTACGGCAGCATCAACTTCATTCACCTGGTGATCAACAAATAGAACTTAAAACACTATGTTAAATGAGAAGTATAAAATTGCCTCACCACAGCCAAGGAGGGGGCATTTGTTTGAAGCCCCCACTGAGCCCTCTCCAGAAATTCTAGAGGAGAAGGTATGGGTATTTTCTGGAACAACACATTTGATGAACAGTTTTGCTTTTTTTTTTTTTTTTTTTACTCTTTGTTTATTACAACTAAACCAAAAAGCTCAAGTTTCTGAATATTCTGTGGTAGTACAAATACACAACTGTGAAGACTAGCTTTGGAATTAGCAATTGCTCAATCATTAGCACAGTCTGCTTCTAGCTTCAAACCATTTACTGGATTGGAGTATGTAGGAAGTTTCTTTGCACAGTTAGGATACAGAAAAATGGCTTAATATTAAAATATGCAAAATTTACATGCTATTTGGCACCCTGATTATTTCTTAATCAATTTATGCCACAACAACAAAACAGAGTTAAGGCCTGAACATATTTTTACTCTGAGAAAACTTTTTAAAATTGTCAGTGAGAGCAATTTGTATCCTCTAGAAATAATCATGAATGAAGATGTTTCCATTTACTGCACCTTTCTCACATCAACCTTTACTGGGAGACATTTCTGTCGTGTAACATCTTCCAGTTTCTTAGCTGCCTAATTTTGTTCACAAAAAGAATGATGAAAAAATTAAGCAAAGCTCTTATATAGTTGTCATGCTGACTGTGGTAAAGAAACCCATAACTACATCAAAGAAGTCAAGATTCCAAACTAAAGCCTATTGCTACCCCTGTGAGTCACACATTGTCCCAGTATCAGTGTTGTCATGTTCCCAAAACATACCAGTCTAGAACTCAAACTTAAGTGTACCAACTCAAGTCACCATTTAGTGACTAGAATCATGAAATGCTGGCCAGAAATAAAATTGTACTCACCAGAAAAATGAAAAGAGAAGGAAAAAAAGGAAAAGGAAATGACATTTTGTGAAATAATATGTTTTATGCAATGTTCGACCCTCTTCACTTTGGGAACTTTACCACAAAATACATCTAACCAAAATTTTTTTTTCTCTTCAACATGGTGGCCAAACTTTTGCAGCTTGGAGCACTGCAGTTGCTACTCCAGTGGAGAGCCTCTGACAAACGATAGTCGCCTTAGACATCTCTCTATGAACTTTGACATTGATTTAAGTTTAATTTATTTCATTCTCGGCAATATTTAACCAAACTGACCCAGCTCAGCTGTAAGCTGGTTTGAATGGGGGCTGTCAAAATTTATCCTTATACTGCTTTGTAATGATTACTAGAACAGTTACTTTGAAGACCTCTTTTCAATTTATTACCTTTTTGAGTCTGTCAAACTTCCGACCCACTATTACAGCAGAGCAGCTGTGTCTAACAACAATGAAAGAATTAAATGGAAATGAGAAGCACCTAATTCATTTTCTAGCTTTCTATTTGTAGTTTGAGCAGGAGATTGGTAGAAACTGGAATTATCTTAGGCACCAAACGTTAATTATAGGCTGTCTTAGTGCCCCCTAAGAAAGATGACTGTGTTGGAATTAGCAGGTCCCCTCAGAAAATTGGTCAGTGAAGGGCGTGGGGGGTGAAGGGGAAATTGGCGGGGTATAATCATCGCCCTACCTCATCAGAACTTCAGTAATAGTAAAACCAATACCAGAACCACCTCCCGTGATAAACGCCACCTTCCCTTGGAGAATGTTCGGACGGAAAAAGTAATCATAGTGATCAAGGCAAGCAATGTCGCTCTCCAGCACCGCTTCCGCCATCTTGGGATAACTTTGAGGCCACGTGAGTTACAAGGGGGGAGTAGTGGGAGGCGCGCGATGCATGTTTGGTACTCAAGGGAACATGGCGACAGCACTGAGTTTTGGTGAGGAAGAGTTATAGTTAACCTTACTTTCGTTACTTTTTTTTCTTTGACTTTCGAAGCGTTTTCAGTTTGAAAATTTTCCTCGATTTTGTAAGTGCCTGCATAAAAATTTATGTGTGGATAAATCTGCAGGTTCGGTTCCCTCGTTTTATCGCGAGGTTTATCAGATAGTATGTCCCAATCAAGAAGAGAGGATCGAGCGTGATATGTTTGTGAAGATCTTAATGAAATCAAGCCTACCCAAACAATCGTTAAGTCAGGTAAAGTATAAGACGTATTTAGCTTGCTTACTTCGTTCTCTATGAATGCAAATAAATGACAGGAGAGACGTTCGTCTTAGCTTTTAAGTAAACCTAACGTAACATCGTTGACCATTTATTTACGTTTTGCGTTTTGTGCCCTGGTAGTTGTACTTTTGATATATTACAATTAAAAATCGCGACTTGTCTCACCCTGCTAATTAAGAGCTTTTTCTTGCCCAGTTGGATCAAAGATCGTCAGATGAGAGCAGAATTTTTGTCTTCCTCGTTTGTTTAGGATCTTTGTGTTGGTGTGTCGGTTTGGGTCACGCAGTACAACACGAGGTGTAATTAATTTACTAGCTCTTTAAACTTGGATCTAATATCCATGAAATTTATATAATCAGCCATCTCGTAATATGAGCATCTAGTCGATCAGCTGTTTCTTATATAATAATTACAATACATCCTGCATGGGATCCTTGTAAATTGATATTTTTTTATTGCAAGTTGTTCTGTTCATGCTAACTTTTGTATTAGCTGAAGAGTGGGATCCCAAGGGACGAGGCTATTGTATTTTACATCCTTGGTCTTTTCAAACCCCGGATAAAATCAGTCAGTGATGTACCTATTCCAAGAGGAAAAATCTATTATTCCATAGATCTTAGCATATCATAATTATCTTTTGTAAGTCCAGCCCCAACTGGCAAAAATAATAAGTGTACCTTTACTGGTAATAACATTCTTTACTGATTGATTAATTAAATAACATTCTAATTTAATTGATTGATTGATTGATTGATTGATCAACTGATTGATTGATTGCTGGATCTTTTGAATTGCACTTCAAGTTACTGAAATCTCACCTTTTACATTTCAACTAATTCCACTTTCCTCTAGCCTCTTCTGAACCTACAAAAAAGAAAATGAAATAATTGTACTTTTCATTGTTATAAGTCCATTGAGTCTTTTCTTCTTTTGGTTCAGATTTGGGAAGCTGTTGATCCAAGGCAAGATGGATATGTAACAAGAGATGGATTATACAAGGCACTGGCCTTAACTGCTTTAGCACAACAGGGCAAAATGATATCAGAGAGAGTATTAGAGCAATTTGTAGATTCAGGTATGGTTATTTGACAATTTCCCATGGTAGAGTTTTGAAAAAACAATTCTTCAGTGTAAAAGAAATATCAGTCATAACACATTTGGTAAAAACCTTTTCCAATAATGACTCAAACTTTAAGGCCAAGTAGGGTTGAAGGCTGAACAATTGATCATGAGTACCTTTGAAACTAACCAACTTTGAAACTTTCTACTTTAATTGATATTTGTTTATAATGACTGTTATTAATGTATCACAGAATTGCCAAAGCCTTCTTTGGGGGACCTGTCAGATCTGAAAAGTCTGAGTGTGCGTCAAAGGCGTGAAAACAACCCAAATGTTTTGGGTTATAACTATGATGAACTTGTGAGTTTGGACACAGTAGATGTAGAGCTTGTACCAGAAAAGAAAGGAATTCTTCTAAAGCATAATGAATATCATGTTTCTAGCAAGGTGAGACCAAATAATTAAAAAAATATACAATCAAGCCTGTATTAAGGGGCACTGTATTAGTTGGTCACCCTGTATCAAGCAGTCGGTTGTCAAAGTCCCAAGTGTGTTTCCCCTTAATCACTGTAATTTCTCTTGTGTTTCCCCTTAACCCTTTCACTCCTAGAAGTGATCAACATAAAACTTCTCCCTACAATATCCATACATTCTTCAGCAAACAGGTAATGAGGATATTCAAACTTATCAGATAGAAGCTGCTATCTTGATCTAGCACCAAGTTCTCATAACTAATTTACAAGGAAATGTGTGGCAGGTACAGGGGAGAATTGACAATCAGATCTTGGGAGTTAAAGGGTTAATCACTGTAATTTTCACCTCTTATAAGTAGTCACCTCTATTAAGCAGTGGCCATCACCTCTGAGTGAGTTCCAATAGCCTGTTTCTATTCTCTTTTACTTGTATTTAACAGTCACTTAAAGGCAGACTACTCAGGGAAATAAAACTAAGAATAATCTTCAAGATTATTTTTGTCAGGGAAAAATTTGAAATAAGAAGCTTGCAAATGTAACTTCTAGCATTCTGGGCATCAAAGAGAGTGCCTGCAGGCTGTGCAGATGGTGATGACTGGTCTTAAAAAAAGAGGTAGACCACCCGTCAACTGCTTTAATTGACATCTCTGAAAGCTGCAATCAAGGGCTGTTTTGCCAAGTACCCAAATAGATTGACCAATAGCTAATAAAATAAGTAAGAGGTGACATGTTTTTGCTAGTTATATTATCTGGTGTGTTTTCTTTCGTAATGTTTATGACAAGTCACGTAATAAATGAAGTTAGCTAAATACTTTTTTCTCTGTTCATCTTTTCAGAAACATAACTGTACTGTAAATCGTCGCTACAACGACTTTGTTGCCTTCCATGACATGTTACTAGCAAGGTTCCCATACCGTCTCATTCCGACACTTCCTCCAAAGAAGCTTATGGGAGGTATGTTTGAATTAAGAAATTAAATGATAAAATTATATTTGGAGCAATAAACTCTGAGTTATGCTAGCTGGACCATAGTAAAAGATGTCTTGTCCAGACATACAATTTTTGGTAAAGCTTGGTAGTTTGCTTGGGGAGGGGGGGTGGAGAGGGATAGGCAGAGGACCAACAGAGGACCAAGTTGTCCTTCTAATATACCACATTCTTGGTCAGTCTATCCGGCTCTTCAATCAGAGGTCCTAAGTGGACAGATGGTTTAAGCCCATCAGACTCCTGCATCAGAGATCCATGGTGGTCATTTGTTCAGCTCTTTAAACACAACTTGGAAGTCACAAGTTTTTGAGAAGTTAAGAGTGGTCAGCCTGTAAGACCTACAATTCAGAAGTCCAGAACAGTCAAGTGGTCAGTGTATCACAATCTGAGAGTCTGGAGTGCAGGCTACTAGATGAAATTTTTTTTCCTCCAGGGGTGAGTGGGGGGTGGAGGGGAGAGGGCATAGGGTTGTCCTGAGTTAAATTCCCTAAACTTTCATTTGGCTGTCCGAAAACCAAACCCAAGGTTAACAGCAAGGCCAATTAAAACATAGGAAGATATAACTAGGAGCCAATGTGAAAACGAGCCAACTGCTCAAAGAACAGGGCAGTGTGAGTGACCAAGGTTGTTTTAATACAAGTTTTGCATCCAATTCACTGAGAAAGTGGCTTGAGTTTTCTTGACCAGTAACCTAGAAAAGTACAGCAAAATCAATTGAATCCTTTATTACTTTTGACACTTAATTAATAATTCCTCTGATATTTAACTTTGGATTATTTTATTATTAGTGGCCATTTAAGCTGGCTACCAGAAACCATATTTGTTCATCTATTTGCAGCCAGCAAAGAGTTCATTGAGGCCAGGAAAAGATCCTTAAAGCGTTTTCTGACTCTTGTTGTGAGGCATCCCATACTTTGTGAGGACAGGATTGTGAACTTTTTCCTTACAGTCAAGGGCTCGGTGAGTTGTCCTGTTGAATTCTATTGGAATGCACCTTTCCAGCAGAGCTCAGGATTTGTGATGGTGGCATCCATCTGTTTCTGTTGTTTCCCATTATGTTTATGCTATTGTTTACCAAACAAAGACTGTATCATACCATGCAACCTCATGAGCACTCATGTTACAACTCTGTTACATGAGAATGCACTTGTTGTCAGCCGATCAGAAGCGCACAATTTTTTCCATGCACATTATAAAGATCGTGGTATGTGTTGTTAAGGATATGTGTGCTATTTCTCCCAGGACATTGGTCAGAAGTTGAAGGATCAGTATAAATCAATGCCAGATGAATTCATGACTAGTCCTCTTGCCTCCAAAGCAAAGGTAATAAATTGCAAGACATGTATAAATTCTTTTTACTTTCTGCTCTACATGCAATATAATTTAACCCCCAACAAATAAGTGGCAGATCAAATATCTCTTGGTCGGGTGATGTTTTGCTATTTTCTCGTCACCTTTCTGGTTGAGAATATATTGATATTGTTCAGGAGAAAAAACATTTACTTGGTCACTGTTAGGAGTCAAATACTGGTGTTTTTCCTTTTTTTTGTTTTTGTTTTTTAATTTTGTTGCTCAAATTTGAGTTACAATTGTATAAAGAGCTGATTATCCTTTTTCTTTAAATAAAATTTTACAAAATCTAGGGAAATTCCATGCAATATTTTTCTATATTTTTTTGTGTTTGTCTCATAGGAACTAGTCCCTATGGATACACAAGCCAGTTTTCAAACCAGCCGCCTGCAAATTCAAGCCATTCACAACAGTGTGGAAAAACTAAAGGATGTTGCTGATAGAATGACAGCAAGAGCCTTAGGTTGTTCATCTTTCCATCGATTTATTCTTCAGTTTTTGGGAATACAATTTGAAATCAATGCTTCAACCATGAGTTATTCTACTAGCAAAAAAAATATAATCTCATATCATCTATTGAAATCAAAAGAAAAATACAATTTGTTCATCAAGAAATATGAAAAAGCAGTTACTGCTGCCTAAGTTAATTGGCAGCAATGAAAAGACTCGCAGAAATTCCTCTGAAGGGTAACATATTTCAAGGCATACATTATTTGGTACAAGGTACTAGAGATAGTTAACTAAAAGTATAAGGGGAAGAAAGTAAACAGGCTCTGTTTACTCTGATACAAAAGTATGAAGGTAACAGCTAATTATTTTGAATTAATATTGATATTATTTTTTTATTTTGTAAACAGGATTTTCTTCTGACATGCTTCAGTTTGCTAAGGAACTCACGTAAGTCCCTGTCTCTCAAGGGTGAAAACATCTTTGTCTGCGAATGATGTTCAAGGAAGCATTTCATGAGATGTGAAATACTAGGGAGTACTCTCTGTAGGTTACACTTGATACTCATTCCTGCCCAGAAAGTTTGAGACTTCCTTTCATTATTGTCTCTGTTTGTAATTGATTCTAAAAAAAAATTTTTGTGTTGAAAAATAATCAGCCAAAACATTACCACAATGTTAATGCATTAGTACTGTCTTGCACTGCAGATATTTAAATCCTTGAAACTGTGGCTCTACCTTAAGCACTGCTACTCGCACAGATGATGTTTGTGCTCACTATTTAGTAGAAATTATTTGTAGCTTCCGTTAACTGTGTTTATTTCACAGATTTGAAAACAGATGTTTTCTAACCTATGTTCTCTGAGAACTCTTTTTGATACAAATTGTACTTCTATCAAATTTCTATTAAACATGTCCAAAGTAGTCAGTTGTATGTGAATTATCAGATCATTAGTACATATCTTTTGTCATTATCTACACAGAGCATTAACCAATGAGTCACACCCAACAACTGTATGGGCAAGTGGTAGTAACAACACATGGGGGAACCTTAAACACAGCTTTACTGGAATCACTCCTTATTATACCAAACTTTCAGAGAGAGGTGCTGTTTGGGTTAGTACGAGCTAAATTCAATTATTTCTGGTTAAAAAGATTTCAACTTTCTTGATTTTAGTCCCCATATGTTTATGGATTATGATAACATTACCTAGAACAAAAGAGAAAAAAATTAGAACTACCAGAAGTACTAGTAATTCAGCAGCTACACTTGCATTTTAGACAACTACTGAAAAGTGCCTCATCTGCGTATTGGAAGGATGGTTAAAGATGAAGGCCTTGGTCATGTTTTATGTACATTAAAAAAGGTCATTTTACTTTTCACACTGCTTAAGTCACCCATTTCACAAAAACAAAAGTTTTCTGCTTTCTGCTAAATTATGAGGAATAGAGTTATTTTTTTTGTCTTTGGTGGCCATACACCTTTTTTTTTTGTCCTGACACTCTTGTAAGATAATGTCAGTGGTGCTGTGAGGCAAGACTTTACCACCACAAAGCAGTCAACTGACCATGGTTAACATTATAAATTACCTATTAAATTGAGTAGAGGGCAAGGGCACAAGAAGGCAACAATTAACTAAGACTGAACTTTTTTCTCCTACTTAATTTTGCCTTGTTCCTAGTTTAAAAGAGAGGATACTGGTGCTGCTGAGTACTTGGCTCTCTTCTTGGATTTAACCTCAAGTTATCGGGTAAGTTTGAATAACCCAACTTTTTTATGAACCCTTTCAACCTTAAGAGTACTAAGATCTAATTTCTCCTTGCAATAACTCCCCTGAATCAAACATTAAGGTCATGAGAATAAAGGAGATGATCACCAACTAAAGAAGCTTTTGATTGTTGAACAAATTCTCCTTGTCAGAACCCTTGGAAATGTCTAAAGTGTGGTATGGAGAATATGCAAACTGATGTTAGGGAGTAAAAGTTAAGGGTTTAACTGTTTACCCCATTCACTTCCTCCTTTCTGTCTTACATACTTTTCATATGATTGTAGCTCTGAGAATTTTGTGTCCAATCAATTTTTATCACAAAGTTGATCTTTTTCTGTCTTCTTTTCACCTCTTGCTTGACAATGTGTGAATGGTGCTGGGAGAAATTATTCATAGGTTGCTCCTAGGAGTGAAAGGTGTAAGGGAAGTTTTGCAATGCAATTAGGCCCAAAATAGGAAGTCATTCCCTGGAAAATGGCAAGTGGATGCTTGAAGAAACTATATCATTGTCACTTTTGTACAATAAAAAATTGCCTCCATATAGAAGAAAACAGACGTCTATGAGATAAGAAGTGCTGGTTTATTATAGGTGTTAGTTTGTTGCTAAGGTTTGGAAATGATGGTTTTCTTTTGCTGAGGCTGTGCCCCTCTGCACAGGCATTCAGTAGATTTTTTTTTGCTAATGGAAAGTGTCCATAAGGAGAGTTTCAAGGGTTGGAAGCTTTGAAATAACCCATGGTGCAGATCAAAAATTGAGAACCAGTGCATGAAAGAGAGTGACTCCTATTGATAGCATTTTTTTTTATGCCAGGAACTTTGTGAAAGGCATGAAAAGGGAGTTTTAAAAGATCACCAACACTCGCTCCAGAAAATGCAGCAGATCAAAAAACGTCAGATTGCTGCTCAGGCAAAGGGCCAGGATCATGCTGTTGATCAGCTGGAATCCAAAATTGTTGAACAGGAGACGGACATCAGTAACATGGAAAACAGGAACTATTTCTCACTGCACTGTCTCCAGCTAGAAACCCAGTTGGTACATGCTAACATGACATTATTGGCAATAGTGTTACAAAAGATGGTCACATCACAGATTGCAGGACACAAGGAGGTGAGATGCAAGCTAGACAATAAGTTCCCCGACACAGTAGGCAACAAGTTGTCATGATCCATGACAACGCATGTCGCAGCAGCTACAGTCAGTGTCAAAATTAGTTGACACTTCAAATCAAAGATTCCTATTTACGTGTAGAATAACAATCCTCTCTCTACCACACTCTAAATCATTGACAAGACCCCTCTTCCCACCCTTTCCCCCATTCAATGAAGGGGGAAGGGGGCAAATGGGTCACAGGAGGTGGAAAGTAAATTCCTACTTAGGTCATTTGAGGCTATTCCTTCCTCTTGAAGACTTCATGGATGGACATCAGCAATTCTCCCTTTTTAAACACCATTTACATGTGAACTTTACAGATGATAGTGTGGTTGACAGTTTTGCTGTTATTAATCTCTTTAACAGGTATTTGAAGTCTGGAATGAACTTGATCCACTCGTGGCTGCATTACTTCCCAGCACCTCTCCTGGCTCGTCACCCCCTGGTTCACCGCCATTAAAGTAATTTCAGCTGTCTACATGATCAATGTAGAAGTATATTGCTCTTTCATAGATTTAAGTATTTTTAATTACTTAGTGGTAAGGTGTCATGAGATGAAATTGGTCCACACCAGATGACCTGTGTAGTCAAATAACAGTGATATCAACCACCCTGCAAATTGTTGTGAAGTGTTGATGTGCTGTTATCAAGATGTTGAATTACATCTCTCCTAGTAATGTTCACTTTTAAGGTTAGACTTTGGTTTTAAATCCAGTCACTGAAATGGTCGCCTAACCCATAAATTCAGAGAAGAATAAAAGAACATTTTTTAAGGAAAAACTTCTTTTTTGGGATTTGTTTGTTATTTTGATGGACAAATTATAGCTGCAGTATACCAAATATTGTCAGGTATTTCCCTCTAAGTATTGGATAAATATCCAAAGGTATGTAGTGGAGGTGTTCTTCCTAGTTAGAAAATTGAATGATTTGTTTTTATAACTGTTAGCAATTTTCTTAATGCTTGTCTTACTTTGCTAAATGGCCAGGAAATGTTTATTTTCTATTGATTGGAGCAGAATAAAAGGCAAAACCAATGGATAATTATTTTGTAAAAAAAGATTATAGTTACTGTAGTACAAATTTTATAAGGAGCAACTGAACACATAATCAATCAAATATTGTACACTTTCACATCACATGCACTGAAACATAATATTCAAGGACAGGGAGCTTTGACCGTGAGAACTCTTTCTTCAGGCTAAACATAAATATAACAACTTTCTCGCAGTTGTTGCTCAACTGGACATCTCTTTAAAGAATTTTGCAGGTAATTATAAACCACCCAGTACTATCTAAGTTTTCTTCAATGATATTGATGCTAGATTTGGACTCAAGTTATGAATAACTTCAGGCTCTCACCTTGTACATCAGTAAGGCAGAAGAAACAAGTGGATTTCAAGCATCCTTAAATTTGACCCAAAGAAACCTCAGAAAAATAGCAGACTTGATTTCCCAAGAGGTCTTTGGTACAACTAATAAGGGTACAATACTTATTATAATGTTTGTTTGACTCACTGTTCTTGTATGCATCTCAGAAGCATAAAGTTTATCAAAGATTGCTGATAGTGTACCATTAATTCTTTGTAAATCTGGCTAACAGAAGAAGGTATAATTGTAGTGACTTTGCTATCTTTGGATAACTTGAATTGCACTTCAACCCTGTAACTCCCAAGATCTAATCAGTAGTTTTGTCTTCTGATTGCCTTGCATTCTCTGGTAAATTAGGCAGGAAATTTTGGTTTTATATGAAGGAAGCACTTTCATATCGATAAGTTTGTCTGTTCACATAACCTGTAAAATGACATACAGCATTGGAAGCACAAGGGAAAGCTACATGTCAATCTCATGGGAGTTAGAGGGTTTTGTGGTATTAAGACTTAATTGTCAGCTTTTCCGCTAAGGATTTCCAAGTTTCTAACAAGGGACCACCTAAATTTACAACTTTAGAATCAGTTGTCTTTGATAATGATCAGTATACTGAACCTACATTGGTAGAAAAGAGAAGTTATTATTAACTCAACGAATCAGTAGTCTAAGAGTTTTGAAAAAGGACTAATCAATTAGATGGATTAAAAGTATTTTTAAGACTATTGAGTGAAATTTTGTGTTTTTTAATCTGGTACAGATTTCTTGGCAATCTGCTCAAAATGTGAACCCACAGGATATGATTACTAACTGGATGTCAAAATTTAAAATTCAACCATTCCAAATCCTGTTTCCACAATTTGCAGCAACTCTAGTTGTCTAGGTCTGAATGTGACTGTTGATTGGTAGACTTTTAGTTTTAAATACCAAATAAAAATCCTGGATTGTTGACTTTTGCTAGGATGGATTTCTTTGAGGTCTTGCTCAGCCTAGTCCAGTGCAAAACAGAACTGAAATCCAGTTAATAATTAGTGTTGCTTCAAACAAGATTTTCACTGAAACGTGGTCTTTCTAGATGTGATTGCTACAATTCCCAAACTTCATGCCACAGACCTCCCATCCAAAAGGCCATTGACATTAACCCTTTAATCCCTAGGAGTGTCTGGCATCTAATTTTCCTTGCTGTATCACCCTGAATTAAACACTAAGGCCAGGAGAATAAAGGAAGTGATCACCTACAAAAAGCTCTTGATTGTTACACAAATTCTCCCTATTAGCACCCTAGGAAATGTTTAGAGAATGGTATGGAGATTATGGACACTGATGTTAGGGTGTTAAGGGTTAAAGCTGTTTTGTGCACTTGCCCTTTTGTTATTAAACATTTCACTTCTAATGCAGTGCTCTCATTGGATGTTTCATCCCAGGTGTTTATTTTCAGCCTGCATAGCTCTTGCAATGTACCAAGGATCAAATTAAGGGTAGCACAGACACTATCCAGTTTTAAAATAGTGTGTATGATGTGGATGATTGTCAGGAACAGCACTAAGAAACTTGTTTTTACAAGTGACATTTTATCACAAATATAACTTCTACAAATTTCTTTTCCCTTTTTTTAAATGCATAGACAGAAAAACTTAAACACAATTTTCTACTTGATGTATACCCTTTTTTATTTGAATTAATAAATGAAAATTACACATGCAAATATCTAAGATTATAAGTAGAGACAAGTTGTAAATAACTTACTTGCTGATGAATATCATCATAGTGCTATTAATTTTCTATAGCAAAAAAACTGTTTGAAACAAACACTCTTACTTTATCCAATGTAGATGGCTTTGCAACCCTTGAACATGAATATTATTCAATGTTTTAATTCTTTTGAATATATGATAACAACTTTCCACAACCTTTTACAGATTTTTACAGATTTTTTTTCTTTTTTTGCCATGACCTACAATCAAGACCCTCTCTCAAAATGTCAAAAATAATTTTTCAATCAAGGTATTTCTTACTTTACCAGAAAAATTAATTACCTTTGTCTTGGCATATTCCCTGACTTCCAAGATCAAAATATGAAAGCATAAAATTCCTTCAATTTACATTCCAGGTATCACTTGACCCCTTATGAACTCTGTCGTTTCAAGCTGTTTTACAAGGTCCTTCACTCTGTTAACAAAAAAGGGCTAAAATCAACAGAAAAGTGGTAACTTTTTAAGAAGGACATCACCATGTCTCATGCTTGTCACAAATATTTGAAATCTTTGTTAGGTCAATGCCAGAGGTAACATCTACTACTCTTCCCAATCCATCTATCTCTACTTTTTTTTCAAGTGTTGCTAACCTTTATGGAACAAGTGTCTCCCTATTTTAACCAAAACTAAAAATAAGCTAGCAAATAGATAGGTAGAACTGAGGAGAAGAAAAATTCTGTTATTCCTATGAGGCCTAACAGTAGCATCTTGTTATGTATCGGGTTCTTTTAAATTCTCCCAGCACATAACAAATGAAAGCGAGCCCATTTTAATTTTACTCTTAGTACACAAGTGCAATTCTACCATTCTACCTCTACCAGAGACACATTTCCTTGTAAGTTAGTTACAAGGATTTTATGTTAAATCAAGATAACAAATTCTACTTGAGAAGTTGGAGTATTCTGATTATCTATCCAGTGGATAATGTAAGGATATTATGGGGAGATGTTACATGTTAATCATCTTTGGGAGTTAAAGGGTTTATTTCTACATGTAACTCAGTATTGTAATTGTACATGCTCTACAACATTACTAATTGTCTTGTCAGATTTGTATTTGATTTTGTATCCTAAAGCAATCATTGAACTGAAAAAAAAAAAAAAAAAAAAATGCCAGAAACCATGCTTCTCCACATAAATCTTAAGCATAAATTTTTGCTTAAGGAGAAATTTCTAATTCATTCCTAGTTTTAATCATGTTCATGATTTGAAAATTATCCTTACAACTAAATTATTAGAGAAATTTTCAATAAGTGTTGAAAGTAATCCTGGATTGCTTGGTCCAGAAAACTCACTCCACTGTTACAACCAATAAGATGTAAAACTGAAATCAACTGTGATTTGGTCACTGGCACTTTCCTCACTTTTCACAGTTACACCAGTTTAACATTGAAAGGAATTCTCCTTTCTCCTGATCAGTCCTTGCAATTACTTTGGTTTAGGTTTACGAGACTCAATCGAAAAGTACTCTGACTAATACTGAATTTTAACCTCACATATTTTAGCATACATTAGTCTGGCACACTATTTACATCAGCTTATAAGATGCCTATGTGCCATAATATAAATGAACCTTATTACCACTCACAAACAAAGGTTGTTTGGGGGTATTTTCTACAGCTGTAGGTTTACATTTCCTGAGTAATTCACTAATCAGTATATCAATAAATAACTTATAAAGAACTTAAAGTCACTTGGAATATAAAATACGAAAGGCTGCCGTAAATGAGAAATGCAAATGATTTAACTCTTCATTCAAACAAAATACTCCCATAATCTAAAATCTTGGCAACCACTTTAAGAAGTACAACACAAATTTTGGATCTGTTCTTCTGTTGGCTGATTTTGATAATATGATTTTACTTCCACACATTAACATATTATTTTTTGGTCAAGGTCAGTATCTGATCAACTACACACCTTCCCCTCCCCTAACCTAACATGAACCCTAACTTGTTATCAGTTGATTGTTGTTGGGTTAGGGGAGGGGTAGGTGTGAAGTTGATCAGATACTGGCATTGATCCATATTTTCCTGGTAATTATTACTGGTACCTGACCATTTGATATTGTATCAAAACCATATGTAGAAGCCTAATTTATATATATATATTTTTTACTTATCACTAATGGGAGGAAAATATATGAAACCCAAATTTAGTGAAATCATTAAAAAGTTAATCCTTCTGTATTTTACAGGGAACACATCTGACATGAATATAAACGATACTGAACACAAATGATAACTGATGAGAATCAACTATAATAATTGATAATAACAGTAACATTACTAATGATAATAAATATAGATGCTTTGTTCTAGTTCCTTGTTACAGCAACAGTAAGAAAGCCAAGAGAGTCAATCAAGTCCTGTGTTTGTCCACTTCTACATCTCCTCCATAGAACAAACTAGGGTGGCCTCCACCTCTTGTGAGAATACCCTTACAGTAAGAAAAAAAAACAGTGATGAGAGAATGTTTTGTTCTACATTAAACAGTAAAGAACTAGATTTCAGTTTGTGCTTTGTACAAAATTTAGTCTAAATTATGGAAAAAAGAGGAAATGATTGAATGATTTCTGGTCTGAGACTCAGAAAGTTGTTAAGCAGAAAGTTGCTCACCCTTTTTAGCTGTTCCTGTCTTCGCTGCCACTGAGAGGGTGACATTGAGCTACTTGCAGGGTAGACAATCTGTAACTGAGGGCTAGACATGAACAATGAAGGATCTGAACTATGGCGACGTAGTCCACTTGTTTCCTGTCGGCATTCATTTAGCTGACTTTTGTAGATTGCAAGCTTTATGAATCAACAAAGACAAATGATTGGCAAAATTGAACAATTCTTAGGAATTCATTCATTATTTCATTTATGCACATGTATACAATTTGCCCTTGAAAGTGTCTCAGGTTATACATGCCTATGTAATGTTCTTTAAGCAAAGGTTCTCTTGGCAATTTTGTTCAAACCAATGATTTTCAACTTTGTGTTATAACTTTGAGAAACACATTTGCTTCCTGGTTAGCAAGCTTAACTCCACACTCAGAAGTCCTATTTTGGTCTGTAGATGTCCATAGTGTCCCTGAGCAAGACACTAAAACTCTGATAGAATCAGGGTAGACTTCATTAATATTAGCAATTTGTAAGGAAAACTTGACAAATTTGTGGAGGTTACCCTTCATAGACTCATCTTGCATCCCAATAGGGTGGAGAAGTAGTGATGTCACTTCATGTTCCCTGTGGCTTTACACTCCCCAAGAGCACTAAGCATCAATATAACTGAGCCACTAGACTTGCAGATAAAATTTTCCTCACCTCTTGTGTCAATGTGGCAATGAGGTCTTGAGCATCCAAAAGCTGCTGCTGAAGGTTATCTTTTTCACCTTGTGCTCTTTCTCTGTCTCTCCTCTCATTTGAGAAATCTTCCTCATACGCTTGTATCTGAGCAAACCACATTTCAACGTATATTACTACACATGCATTTTCATCATAATTTACTTGCAACACACACTCTATAACCCTAATATCTCCCAGATCTGACAAATAACAATCCTATTCCATAAAATTAGCATCATGCATCCCTGTCTTGATTTAAGATGAAATTTGGGGGTAAATGATTTGCTTCATTCTCTTTACCAGTCTACATAACAGCATATTAAAATGTAGAGAGAGCATACCTGCCAACCACTCCAAGAAATCACAAAATTAAAAGCATATATACATAATAATAATAAAATAATAATATTAATTTACCACTCCTCCAAGGGGGATTTTAAGTGTCAATAAAAAAAATTTTAAAAAATTTTAAAAAATCGTGTAATGAAACATAGCATTTAAAAATTCTAACTAGCTAGAGGCAGATCTATTGGTCATATACTAAGCACAGCTTTGGAGTTGAACTTGGTGCAACCAAGAACAAATCCAGTAAGTAGCTGGGTGGAGGGTTTGAACCAGGGAATACCAGATTACAAGTCCGGCACCCTAACCACTCGGCTACACTGCCACCTGGCTATAAAGGTCCAGTTAGAAAAAAGTTGCTCTCAATGGGTTATCAGTATACAGATCTTACTCCTTTGGGTACCCCAACACATGTTGCAACATGTATTCAAAATACTTTTTTTATAAGTTACAGTACCCATCACTCGTGGTTAAAATTTGATCAAGATTTAAAATTTTTCACACCAATCAGATTTTTCTTTCCTATCTTTACCCTTTTCTTTTCTTTTCCCTTCCTTTTTTTTTTTGGCAGTATTCATATAATAATTGGAAAACACTAACATAAAATTTATACTGGTTTCAAAAAGTTTCAAACCAAGGAACAATTTTAACCACAACATTTATAAATAAGCTTGAACATACAATTGATTATCCTTAAATGACAGTAGTAGTATCAAGTTTTGACCATTGTCATACAGTAAGTATTCACTGAGAAAATAACACAAACCTGTTGTTTAAATACTTCAAAATCATTCAGATCTAGGAATGGTGACTGTGGTGAAGGTTTCTGTCCTTGATACAGTTCATTTAAAGTAGCAGCAAGCCTTGAAACTTCAGTTCCCAGAGCAAGGACCTGTGTTTCTGAATTTGCAAGTTTTTCTTTGGTCAAATCCAGTTCCTTTTGAAGCATTTCATTCTCTGTCTGATATTTTATCTTCATAGCATCGTAGTCTTCTTTCCACTTCTTGTTGACTTCCATAACCTTCATTTAAAAGTATAGACGTCAGTTTGAAACAGAACATTTATACAAAATATGTTCATAGCATTAAATACATGAAATTACCGTAAATTGCAAATTCACTGCCGTGGAGCGGGTAAGAAATATTTACTAAACCACAAAGTACTTTTTCATACCACTGGAGATACTCATAGAATAGAAGTGTTCTCGGATGCAACAAATATATAAATGAATGAAACAAGATTGGGCTTGTCAAATGTTTGCTGACTTTGTAGAATTACCCTTATAATAGCCATTGTGTTTCAAAAATATCATATTACATCATCATAGTATCCTTCCAAAATATGTAAGTGGTTAATTTCAAATCTGAGCAAATTACTGCATAATCATTTTAATTAGAGGTAATTATGTTACATAGAATGTCATAACACAATTATAATAGAACTGCAAGATGCATAAATAGTTAATAACAAGCCTAGGCAAGTCAATATTTGGCTGACATTGCATTTAATTGTTATAGTTGATAGCTGGTGATGGTATATTAATATAGAACCCTGCTAGGGAAATAAATTATGCAAACATTGCATAATCTATAAAAAGAAATTCAAAACAAGATGAGTAGGTGGTTCATTACCAATAAAGGAAATCAGCCTTTCTGGCTCGATGGGCACAGTGGTTTTACTGATTATAATTTGTTAAAAAATAGCAAACAAGGTTACAGAGCCAGTAAAATATGCAGAGAATCTTTATTGGAAGGAACTTCTAAGGCTCAAATCATTTCATGAATTGTTTGATTAATGTGGGTAGGGAAGAATATTCAATAAACAAAATTAGTTCATTGAAACACAGAAGAGAAAAATTACTACAGTAGGACTAAGAACAAATAACATTTACAAGCAAAGGAACAACTACGTGGTCACATAGCAAGCTATTCCAAAATTCTGGCTATGGTGTAAAACACATATTGATGTCTCAAGTGGATTGACCACAAGCTGCTTTTTATTTATCCATGTTCTGATTAAACTAGTATCATAATACAACACAATTTGCAAATTTCATGAAGGTTAATTCACTCCAGAGTTTAAAAGCTACTTTCCTTTGGTTTCCTAAGGAAAAATTTAGTTAATCAGCTTAGTTTAAGTCAAAGAACCTGCGTTCTGTGTAATACTGTATAAATCAAACATGAGTAAGTGTGTTTTATCAATATAGGTTGAAACAGCAGGATACTCAGAATGTTAACAATTTTGTAGACCATTCAATTTGTAAGATCATAGTTACCACCACTGCTGTGAGCAAATTTTGATTTTTTTTTCTGGGTATATTTATAGCATTGGATCCTAAAAATTCAAAACATGAGAGATACTAATGAGACACATAATGCATGCTAAAAATGCTTTGAGCAATGATATAATAACAAAGCTTAACATTAACTGGGCACAAGACATCTGAACCTCCATCATATCTACAAGTCTTCATTGTCTAAATAAATAACGAGCATTCCATCAATTCCACAAATGAGAACCATTCTGATTACATGTGCACTTAATTTAAGTCATGGACAGCTCTTTTACATTTGATAATTTCAACTATTTGCTTTTCAAAAGGCACATAACTAGATGCATTTTCACGATCTGTTTATTTCATTTTACATACAGATCAGCTCACTGACAGAAAATGAAAAAAAAAACTGTACAACCCATTAATTTTCATTTTCTAAATGGACAACTGTCTGATAGACAAAAGAGGTTACATAGGGTAGGATATAGTGATGATATCGCCCACTTCCGATTGTCACAGCCCACACCTGAATCTTGAAGTGACGTCACAAGTGATTTGAGATTTTAGTTCTTACTCTTTCTCTCATTCTCGCATTTTGAGTTTTGCCTCAATAAGATTTAAATTTCTTCAGGAGGCTATTAAAAATAAAAACTCTATGGATGCACCATGCCACATCCTATATAAATCAATCTTTTAGTTTTGTTTCATTCAGGTATAGAGAGTAGTATAAAGAGTAGTAAAATTGAGTAACGCATTTTCCTTGCAAACTCATCACCATGCTGGACCTCTTTGAGGGTCATCGGCATACCACCATGTTCTGAATCTTACTGCACATTCGCAGAAAGGCCAAATTTATCCAAATAAACAGTGCAGCAAAATTGTTATTTTTGCTTTTGAGAATTATCTCATGAAATTGTTGTGTGTGACAATTGTTTTGGCTGACATGCAGACAACTCCAAATTCATGAGCCATAATGCATTAAGTCCTGAATAAGGCAATGTGATGTTTGGAGGAGAGCATAATTATGACTTTGGTAACAGTTGATTCTAGTGTTACTGGTTTGCAATATCAGATATATTGCATGGCTGTCATTACAATAAAAAATTCTCATGATTGTACTTCAGGTTTGACTTAATCGTCCATTTGAACTGCAAAATGTTCAAGACAATTAGGACCCAGTAAAATTTCCTTATTTGAAAGTCTGAAGTAAGTTCTGCCCTCCACAAACACGATTCGGTCTACATATTTAAAGTTTCTAATGATTTTCGTTAGCCTATAGACTAGATATAAATTAGACTAAAATTGTTGAAGGAAAAGTAATTTCTTTATCTCACCTCGTTCAGTTGCCATTCCAGACATTCTCCACCGCCTTCACCTGAAACAGATCTAGAAGCATCCCTTGAGTTTGACGGCTCCTAAGAATAATCGAGAAGTATTTCATTATTTGGCTTAATGATTTTTCTTAACAAAGTCTGTGATTCAACCGTCGTAACTTTTGAACCTCACTTTCGCCATTTACATTGTTGTTTCGAATCTTGCTGTAAAACAAAACACAAAAATATCATATTTCTGTGCTTAAGTAGCATAAGCTTGTGCTCTGAGGCAGGTCCAAAAATTTGAGTTTCATATCGCGTTTTCGGCTTCTCATGAAACCTTGAACTGCTACATGGTCAACCCGCTACATGGTCAACTTTGAATAACATATATAATTGTTAACCAACATGAAAACCATTCTTATATACTCATGGAGCGAAACAACAAATATTTCCACCATAAAAATGTACGAGGATCGAGGAATGGCCCATTAATATTGTTGTCGAGTTGCCAACACGTCAGTGCGTCGGTCAGAAATATTAAATGAAACTTCTGCCTTCCCATATCATATCTCTGGCAAAAATGAATGAGACTTCATACCTCCCCATCTCTTTTCTTTCCCTTTTCAGCTTCTCTCAACAGTTTTCTAACTCTCGATTGTTCCTTCTGTAACCTTAATAGCAACGATCGTTTTTCGCCCAAAGTCTTGACTAGCGAGCGCTGTAATTCCAAACAGTTCTCGCATCGATTATCCACAGCATTGCTGGTCATTTTCAAATCAAACACTTATTCCCGACGCACTTAATTTGATTCTTGAATAATAAGCTAAGAGCAGTAGGTTAATAAATAGTAGGGCATAAATTTCCCCATTACTGTAACTGCTCTAAATAGAAACCAAAAGAAAGATCGGGTTAAAACTAGACCGGATGTCGTGATGACGTCATCACTTTAACGTGACCTAATCAAAGAAAACGTGTCAAAATTCTACTCTTACGATAACCCAAAGAAGAAGTTAAATCTTATTTACGTTTACGGGCGAGTTTTAAAGGGAGATATGAACACACTGTTTTAACAAGCTTTCTTGTCACTTTGGAAAATTTTGCCGTCTGGTAAGACAATTTTGATATTTAAAAAAAGACTATTATTTGGAGATGACTATGTAAAAATTCAGTAACATCATCACTTCAAGTATCCCTATGTTATCACGTAATAAATGTCGTACACGTAGGATATTTTTGACAGGGGATATTACGATATTCCCTCTCAGAGGCGATGCAGCTAAAAAACAGCGTGATATTATATTCAATGTGTTTGAGCGGGTCAGAAAGAACAATTAATATCAATCTGAGGCCGTGACACTCTCAGTTCATAACGCGAAGCGTGGGGTTTTTCTACCGATGACCTCAGAATTAGGGAAAAGTCCTAGTTTTGGGAGTACGCGGAGAGAGTCATAGCCACTTTGACTTCACTGAAGAACTGAGTAATGACTAAATTGGTAAAACGTTCAAATTTTCAAGGCAAACGCGAAAGCTGTAGTCGGTCAGCTGTGACTCAATTGACAAAAAAAGCAGTATTTTGTTAAAAAAAAAAAAAATGCTACTAAACTTCCAGCCTTGAAAGTCAAAATTATTGCTGATTTCCCCGCTCATTGTGGTCAGAGACAGTCGTTTCATATACCCCCCCCCCCCCCCACCCACCCCCTTTTCTTCGGAAAAACCCACTTATTCGTACCTCAAAATGAATCATTTAAAACAATTCTGATGCACAACTGAGGGTAAAAGAATATGACCCATAATATGCTCATCTGAAGTAACTCGGTGAAAGAAATTCAATTCTGCTAATGACTTATATCAAGCCGAGATTATAAACAGTTATAATTTCTTGCTTATACCACCAAAGCTTAAACGTGTTTTAAAGCTGTTTTGTTGAACACAGTTTAAATTTTTTTCTTCATAGATGCTGCTTAAACCGATGTTCTGATTTTCACTTGCGTAAATCCGGTTCAACTTAACACGTTTTGCAGGTTTGAATGGGGTATGTTTGAATGGGGTATTATTCTGAAGCTCAGACTCTGGATCGCTCCTTTCCCTCAGGGGGAGGACTGGAGCGAGCGACTTCGGACAGTGAGAATTGGGCTGTAACTGACCGGTGACCACTGAGTACTTTCGCTGATGAGACCAGAAGGAAATCAGAAAAAAATATTGATCATATATCTAATCCAAAGCAATCTAAAACATAGTTTCAGCCCCCCAAAATGTAAGAATCTGTGGTTCTAAATTTTAAAGATAAAGATTTTTTCCCTCACCAAATGTTAGCCAAGGAATTAGCGCCAACCATCAGTACAAAACCGCACCTTGTAGTGCTTCCTGTAAAAACGGTCCTATTAGGTATCTTATCCTAGGATTTTTTGAAGAGGCTAGTGCTGTTAACTACCGTCATATTTCTCTCGCGTGGTGTGTAATTGTTTTTTTTGCTCGGGAGCCCCGGAGTATACAAGATAAATCGTATATTACCTTCGAAGTCGCCTAGCTGGGCATTTGTCATTTAAACACTACTTGGCTATTGTGCCTTGATGTTCTTCAGGCCAATAACAAATTCCTCTAAAACTGACTATCAAAAGGAGTCAGAGAAAACCTCAACAAGCGACGGTTTCAACCAAATAAGTTAAAAAAATTATCAGGTGACACACAAAAGGTTGCAGGTTAGCCTTGTTCTCAGCCTCTCTTTTTTTTCTTCCACCATTGTCGAAAACGCACCAACACATGTTTCCTAATAAATCACCAGTTTGATAATCTAGAGAAACGAATCTCCGCAGTCACATTTGCAGTTCAACTAACTAGCTGAACATATATGACGACCTTTTACTCCAACAAAACAAAGATCATAATCATGAGTTTCCAGTTCCGTAGTGAGATTGAAAACAACGAAATGATTGTCTACAGTTTCAGACAACCATATCTCGCTCTTAGAGGTTGTGTGGGAAAGTAAATTTAACAAGAAGGAAGGACGGCGAAAAAAGATGAAAAAGCCAAAATGAAATAATACCGAAGTTATGTTGGGGGCGACTGTGAAAAGAGTAGGAAGAGTGTGAATGAAGACACAAAAGGAATTTATGAGAAAATCATTGCTTTGCACACTTATCAGTAAACTTTTGCACATTTGTTGGCCATCCTCTGCGAAAAAAAAAAACCCTGAAAACACATCAAATTTACCTTCCGAGGACGACAGTTTACTTAACTCCAATGTCACTTCTCTACTCAAATTTGGAATATCTGATCATTAACGGAGCTGATGCACAAATTAAACTTACCATATCATGAGTCAGGTTTTGCGATGTGTATGTTTAACGACGTTGTGAATTGCAAATTATCACAACTGAAGTCGGGAAGCCAGAATTACACCAAAGAGGAAAAACAAACCAAAGAGGAACACAGAAGATGATGAATGAAGCCGATTAACACGGATTGACAAACTTGAAATGTCTAGAATACGCAAGTAACGTAGGCGTTAAAACAGATTACACTTAGTTAAATGAACTTTCATTCTCTCTATATTCTTCTCTATCTCGATTTACATCAAGAAGAAAAGTGAAACTCGCCTAGCAAAAAGAAGAAAAAATGAAACTGATGGTAAATTGAAAAATAGAAGCTCGATGGGCAATTTGTACGGATACTCCTCCCGTTAATACCGTTAACGATTCATACCTCTTTGTTAAACGTATTTTTTAATTTTTGCATTTTCGGTTTTCGTCGCTCTAGAGTTTCGGATTTTATTTTTGCATTGTTTTGAATCTAAAATCTAAAATCAAGACGTGTCAAGGGTTTTTTTCGGGAGTTCATTGTTTTTCTCTAAATCATTCATAAAAATTTTTTGACATGCTCTAAGCTTAAGCAGACCATCTTTGACATAAATCCGAGACCAGAAGCTTTTATAATGTTAGGACTGTTGCAGGGAAATTCGTACCATTTTCTGTAGGACTATATTAATTTTTCGAGGGAATATGGAGTGCAAAAATTTAAATCTACGGCATTGTTTCATGGAAAATATCGATTCAATCTCTGCACTATTTTGGTAATTTTTTGGTAACGCCCCGAGTTGAATGAACAGCGCGACGATGATGACATTTTTAGCTCGGAAAGAACTGAATAAATTTTCTATCTATTCTTTCTGGCATTCACATTTCCGATGAACGATAATCACGGCTGTTTGGACCTATCTCGTTAATATGAAAGATCCATGTGACTTAAAACAACCTAACTATCGATACAAAATAGATAATGATCAGAAAGAAGTCTCAAGGCATACAAGCACTTTGGCATGGCATTAAATATATTTTTATGCGTCTGCAAATCATGTTGCTATATTTAACAGATACTGTGGGGGCGAAATGATGTACATATTATTATTTTCCAACTGTACTTCATATTCAACCAATCTTTTAATCGATTTTTTGGGGTTAAAAGGTAATACATAAAGAAAACATAATCAATCCAAACAGTAGTAGTATAGGCTCAGTGCCACAATCCAGTCCATGGCTATCTTAATCTGATTCTCGCCACTCTGCAAGAAACTTTAGCGACTGGATTGTGCGTGGGCACTAGGAAAAAGATTTCAACTCTGCAATACTGGAGTAATTCGACTCCTTAAGCACTATTATTACCTTTAGAGGAGGTGACCTGCGGATCATCCATGGATATGCAGCCATCTGTAGCTGAAACTGAGCTGCTTTCTAGTCCAAGTTAGCGACAAGGTGCAAGAGATTTATCTTTCAATGGGCAAATGTGCTGCAGCCCCATTTATAACGGGTAGTCGATGAAATTACAAGATGCTAATGCAAAAGCCGGATGTCGAAGTGATCTAATCCGGGAATGCGATGATGTCATACCTTGGCTCGTCCTGGTTCTCGGTCTTAAAAAAAAACTTCCGGTCTGAATTAAAAACCGATGCCATCGCTAAGCCACAGCATGGCGTTATATCTTACAACTTCCATTTCATACGACTTCCGTCGATGCTTTAAAAGTCAGATTTTGTTTCAAAATATGTTCAAATCGCTCACTCGAATGCCAAATGCGTGGGTGAAATCATAATATACAGATAGAATGTCTGGCTATACCTCGAATGGCAAAGGAACTTTGTTTCCAAACAGCCCTCTTCAAACAACAAATAAGCTTTTGGAGTGTGTTCAGCTGTTCGTGGGTGGTCTTTCATAGAAATCAAGAAATAAGCTTCTAGCACGGAAACGTTGATGATTGATAAATACTCGGAGACAGACCGAGGACGGTTGACAATGAATTTCTAACTAAATTTATTAAACAAAAACCCGCCAAATGATGAGACGGAAAAAGAAAAAAAAAGGAGAATGAGGAGAAAGAATGTCACAGACGCTTTCCCTTTTTTTTTTTCTTTCTTTTTTTTTTTTAGCATCTCTTGATGTAAATTTACCGGACGTGCTAAATGCAAAATTATATGAACTATCTGCTATCATTTAGGTCCTTAACTTTGGGCTTCCTGTTTACGGAAGTGTTTGATCTGACGAGCAGACTCATTTGTGGCAGGTAATGACGGAGGACGGGGGGAAGAAGAAGTTACTCTCTTATTTTGACTTAAACGGGAGTTTGCTGCCAAACAGTGCGTAATATTCTATCTGGATATGGCAGACAGAGTCAAATGAGTTCGATATACTTCTGGCCAAAGTCTGTAAAAAATTTTGCGTCTTGCATGGGGCGGTGAAGTGAAAGGATTTCGCATTGAACCGGGTCGGTATCAGCACGTACACCAGCTCCCCCCCCGGAACCTTAGCTAGTGCCTCCTTCCACTTCTACCCCTCCTCCTTCCTTCACAAGTTGAAGAAGCGGCGCAATTAAGATTTGCAGATCTTAGAAAATTTAG